TGTCACATCTAGTTAATAACTAAATTCTACTGATTTTGGTGAGGAAGTTATAAAGATCTTAGAAGAGATCAGAAACTTTTTTTAGGACTTTAGAAGAAAAGGAAATGCAAAGGATTGCTTATTGTTCAGTTAGTTTTGACAGTATAACTCTACCCAAGTTACATTTTGCAATTGCAGTTCCTTTGTAAAATTTTATCATTTTTTCTGAGTACTATGCTCTGACTTTTGTGATCTTTAAGGATGATAATTAAAATTATTTTTAGGGGCCAGCCCCGTGGCCTACTGGTTAAGTTTGCACGCTCCGCTTTGGCGGCCCAGGGTTCGGATCCTGGGCACGGACATGGCACCACTCATTAGGCCATGTTGAGGCAGTGTCCCACATGCCCCAACTAGAAGGACCCACAACTAAAATATACAACTATGTACTGGGGGGATTGGGGGAGAAAAAAGCAGGAAAAAAAAAAAAAGATTGGCAACAGCTGTTAGCTCAGGTGCCAATCTTTAAAAAAAAAAATTATTTTTAGATTTAGTGGCAGGACACTGTTCAGTGGTCTCTAAACCTTTCACACTGAACTCACCTGGAGAGCTTTCAAAAATTACAGATTCCTGGGTCACATCCCAGTATGTCTGGACCTATTGACTTAATCTCCAGTGTGGAGCACAGCAGTCTATTTTTAAAGCAGTTTCTCCCAATGAGTTAATTCAGCCAGCCAAGCTGTGGTTTGACTTTTTGGAACCACTGCCGTAGGTAATAAACAGGCTTAATTTGACAATACTGGGTCACATAATACATGAATATAGATTTTATATTACTTAGTTATATTTTAGATTGCTCAGTCTCTTAAGCCAGTTGAATCTGAAGCACTATCATTATTTAGGAATGCACTGAATCTAATAATCTTCCAAGATCCTATTATGTATTATTTAATAAGTTCACCTTGATGCAGTCCATCAAAACGTAGTTCTGGATACGTAGTTCAGCTTTGAAATGTTTATGTTCTTCGGGAGAGTTTTCAAATGCCTAGTTCCAGGGAGATTGAGAAAAACGGCATCACCTATGTATTTGAGGAACAGGAAAGAAAGAAATTTGCAGATGAACAGAACTTCTTATCTTCATAGACTTATGGAGTGGCTGCCAGCAAGAGACAGTGTTCAGATGTGGATGATATTTGTTCAATATGTCAAGCTGAATTTCAAAAGCCAATTCTTCTCATCTGTCAGGTAATTATATTTTTAAGAAACCTAAATAAAGCACTTCTCCTTGACTTACATTAGTTACAAGGAAAAAAAAATTCTACAATGCTTAGCAGAAAGTAGCATTCAAGGCACATACTAGTAATTTATTACTGTAATTAGGGACTTGGTAGATTAGCTAAATCTTGTCCCTTATGTTCTAATGATTTTTATGCAGAGTGTATGAAGTGGAAAAATAATTCAGATAGCAGATTGGAAACCAAAGCAAGTGGAAAACAGGCCATTTTTAATAATTAGATGCTAGTCTTTTAGAATATCAGCATTTGTTATTGAATTGTATAAGGACCTTTCCTAGATTTTTTGGCAGTCTCAAAGACTTCATTAATCCATTATCCTTGATCTTAAAGTTATCACCTAGGGATGGCTTGTATTTTATTAAAAGTGGTTAAATGGATAGTACAGTCAAAAGAACACTAGTGGCTCTACCACTAACACACACTTTGTGTTCTTGAATGTCATACTTTCTATGTTTTCTTACTTGTAAAATGAAGGGTTTAGTGATCTCCAAAATCCCTTTTAGCTGTAAAGAGTATGATTCTCTGCAGTGTGATGAATTTAAAGTTAAAATGTTACCAAGTATAAAATCTAGTTCTTAATTCCTTTACAGCATATATTTTGTGAAGAATGTATTACGTTATGGTTTAACAGAGAGAAAACATGTCCGCTGTGCAGAACTGTGATTTCAGACCATATAAACAAATGGAAAGATGGAGCCACTTCATCACACCTTCAAATATATTAAGTTGTACAAACTATTAAGACCACAAAACACTAATTTCTTTTGGTTAAAGTAACTATTGTTAAAGACATTACAATGGATTTTCAGTGCTAGAAATTAAGAAAAATGTTTCCAAATGGTTTTAGAATATTATAATAAGACATAAATGTATAGTCCAATTTATCAAAAGATTAAATGAAAGAATCCTATGTTTAAAAAAATATGTAAGTAATCTTCAACCTAATGCATATGCAACATTTATTCTATCCTGTTTAACAGGTTATTGCAGTGTTAAATTGTAAATGTGTTTTCTTGTTAATCTTACCAAAACAGCAATTGGATAACTAGAACTAGTGGTTTTAGAGGAACTCAGGTATTCCTTCCTGACATTGTTTTCAGAATAAAGAATATTTTTCATAGTATTTTAAGATATACATAATCTGAAAGTAGAATTTTCTTTAGCATTGACTTTTATAATTCCCATTCTTAAAATTTTCATAAAATTTGTATTTTTAAATGAAAGTTCTAAATGCTATATTTTACCTGTAACAATCAGATTTCTAAGTGAAGATTAATTTACTGAGGATGATATATTTTAATATTGTATTATTCTCTGTAGTGTGATTAGCAATCAATGAGAATAGATGATTTAAATTCATTGTGTTTGTGGACCTCATACGCACAATCCTGCTGTCAGCTTTAATGTTCATGATCTTGCTTTTTGTTTAGTGCCATGGACTATCTTGATGTAACTATTAAAATAATTCACATGGATTACAAACAGCTGGCTTCACTGATGATTTGAATAGTATTACAAAACCAACTCAAACTCTTAGAAAAGAATTCCCCTTATAACTGGTCTTCTCCAGAAGTTTTGGAATCTTATGCTTGAATCACCTTTACTTGGGAGATTAAAGTTGCACTCAGAGGCAAGCAAAAGCTTTGGATAGTGGGCTATTTGCCTCTAGGTATTTGTGCAGGGTGGTGGGAAAGGGAATGAGGCACTTTCTCTCTCTCCGTGAAAACTCTAAGGGGGAATTAAGATCTATAACAGAGGTCTGGTTATATCAAAGTTTAGAGTACAAAGCCTCTGCCCATTTTTTCTATTACCATCTATCAGTTTGCACACAAGGAAAAGACAGTGGGAAGGAGAAGTTAGGAGGGAGAGGTAGAAAACAGATTTGCAGTGTTGATAAGACAAAGGCTAAACCAGCATATGGATTAATAAGAGTAGTGACCAACCAGCTACAGGTCAAGTCATTCTCATGCCTGTACGGCCAAACTGACAAAAGAATATTAGAAAGCCTGTAACTTTCCCAGGTAACTACTGCCAGGTTACCAGTACAACTATTTTGATTCATTCAGTGATGATACAGTATTTAACTCTATTATCTACTTTGAGAACCACTGCAAATATTGAAACAAGCTTACTTGGCCTTAAATCACCTTCCTGACCGCTGTGAAGCTAATAGTTATTACTCAGGTATACAGCAGGGAATGGGTGAGAAAGGTAACTTGGGTTTGAATTTGGGTATAAAAGACAGAGGTGCTGACTTATTAAAAACACAAGAATGGCATCTTACTAAGTGATTACTTCAGCCTTATTACAATAGCTGCTTACCCTATGGCTATATGGATAGCTTTCTTTTGGTCACATTAGCACCTGAGCTAACAACTGTTGCCAATCTGCCAATCTTTTTTTTATTCTTCTGCTTTTTCTCCCCAAAGTCCCTGAGTATATAGTTGTATATTCTAGTTGTAGGTCCTTCTGGTTGTGCTATGTGGGATGCCCCCTCAGCACGGCCTGATGAGTGGTGCCATGTCCACGCCCAGGATCTGAACCAGCAAAACCCTGGGCCGCAGAAGCAGAGTGCGCGAACCACTTGGCCACCCGGCCTGCCCCCACTTTGTTTCTTAATATGATTTAATAACAAAGGAGGTCCATAGTGGACAGTGGGGTTTTTTGGTTTTTTTTAATGAACAAGAAAACACTTCACATATGAATTTAAAAGGGGGAAAATGTAATAGGAGAGCTATGCCATCCATTAATAGCACTGATGAACTGGAAGGATTTTTCTACTTCTATTCCTTCACCTCAAAAACAGGGGAACAGGGATTCAAAAACCCATTTATTCTGTGAATTCAGATCACACCCTCTGAAAAGATTGTTTTATCTGTACTGAGTCGGTACTATTTTACAAAAAAGTCAGTTTGAGAACTTCTATAGAGAAATCACATTGGCAAACAGGATAGAATGACCTCATAAAAAGTGGCTTATATAAAACACCCAACTACACTAGATATATTGCGACATTAGTTAAAAACATATTTGTGCACTACGTTATTTTGTGCATACACACCAAATAATCAAATGTAGTTGACAAGTGTGGCTGTGTGGCTGAACGAACTGTTGATTTTTAGCACAAGAAAGTCTTCCCCATGTTTTTACATGAAGCTAGCTTTCACATAACTTTTCATGTGAACTTTTTTTCTCTTTTTCTTTTTTTTTTGAGGAAGATTAGCCCTGAGCTAACTACTGCCAATCCTTCTCTTTTTGCTGAGGAAGACAGGCCCTGAGCTCACATCGATGCCCATCTTCCTCTACTTTATACATGGGGTGCCTACCACAGCATGGCTTTTGCCAAGCAGTGCCATGTCTGCACCTGGGATCTGGACCAGCAAACCCCAGGCCGCCGAGAAACGGAACGTGCGCACTTAACCGCTGCGCCACGGGGCCAGCCCGAATTTTTTTTAAGCAACCAATTCAATTCTATTTGACAGAACTTAGAAATCACAGATGGGTAACATCTAATATATAAAGTCAGTACTAAAACTGTTATAAATTTAAGTAGCTTCCATTTCTCAGCAAAAACAGTTTTACAACTGTCATTCCTCACATATGTAAGTAGTTTATTAAATATGAGAACCTGAACACATCTGGCATATTAATGAAAAAAATTATTGAAACCGTTTGTGCACCTGATAGTTTTTTCTTCCTATCTTAGGAGAATAAAAAAAATCACCTCTATTTTATGTTCATTCAAATTTGTATTTAATTTCTATTTACATTCATTGAATCTGAAATCAAATACTTAGTACAGTAAACTAAATACAAGATGAAAAGCAGAAAAGGTGTTACCCTCATAGCACTCCTAATAAGGCAGCTGAAGAATTTATTTACTCTGATAAATGCAAAGCCAACTTGAGATAGGAAAAAAATAATAGTTTTAAGAGCAAACACAGATGAACCCATCTTTCAGATGTTACTTCAGATAATCCACTGAGGTAATACTTGTGCTGTAGTGGTAAATTAAGAATCACACAAGAAAAGTTTTGTATCAATCATCAACAGACCACAGGTCATGGTGTGACCAATACTTTTGTCCAGCTTGGTAGTGTCTACTCCTATGAAAAAAGGTAGATGTTTGGACATTGATGTTTTTATGTGAGGCATTTTCAAAGCCTCAAAACCCACTCTTCATAAATTCAACATTTCTCACAGGAATAATCTTAGATCTAGCCCTTATAAGCTAGGAACCATACAACTTAACTGAGTAACCAGAATTTTTAGGTCCTATATTAAATATAAAATCCAAGGCTCAGTATATTAATACTATGGAAGATGCATCTTGTTTATAATCATTTATTACTTAAAGAATGTTGAATTTATGGAGTATCATACATGCATTCTTTCCCCCCAATTATCTTCCTTCTCAAAAAATTGTATGGAAAAATCCTTCTTCAAGGATTCAAATTAGTTAAGACCATAAAGGGGAAAAAGAAATAATATAATTTTCCTAAAAATCTGGTTCAAGTTCAATAATTAATACTTTACATTGTTAATCACAGCTCATTTATAAATCCAGTTTATTCTGTAATGCTACAAACCTTATAAAATCAAAATTAGTAAACTTCAGTTATCAGTGATTATATTTTAATTAAAAAACAGCATGTATAAAATAAAAAAATATCCTGTAATAGCTGATTTTAAAGAAAATAATCAAATGATGAAAGAAAAGCACTTAATCTCTTTTATACACTTACCTGGAATAATCATAAAGAACCCTCTTAAAAACTCAAGACTAGTAATATTGACATCATATATTTTTAAACAATACTTGGATTTTTACAAATAAATATAGGGTAAGCCATATTGCATAGGTGTGTGCTTTCTGTCTGTGACACTAAAGTGGCACCTGACATGTTTTCACAGTCATAGTAGGGATATCCATTTATGAAATGTAATTTCTCAATAACTTGCCACAGCATAGGAAATTAATTTCACTTAATGTTAAGTTTGAAAAACTATATTTGTGTGGATGGTAGGTGTGCAATTAATGCTTTTTATGCAGAAAAGTTGCAGTGTTTGCCACTATTGCTGGCAGTACTAATTATGAAAATGGTTTAACTATGGGGTGGTTAATAGCCAGCCAATCACAGTGCAAATGTTACTAGCAAATAGGACTGAGGAGGGATATTTTGGTGTAAAATTCCACTGGAATTTGGTCAGGCAGTCAACACTACAGTTAGTAAACACATTTGAAAACAAGTATCAGAGTAGTAGCACAAGCCACTGACAGTGTGAAATAAAGCCTGTACATATCACCATAGCTTTTTGGGTTCTGTTTTCTGAGACATCATAAACTGTCGGAGAAGAAAGATCTGCACTTTAAGTACAATTTCTGCCCTTATTATTGTAGCTTCTAATTTACTAGCTATAGTTATAAAGTTTCTCAGTAGGCTGCTGCAATAAGGGAGGAGGGGAGTCTAGAGGGAGTGATTTTTTTTTAAAAAAAGGCCTTCTGTCCAAAGATGAACTGTTACTAAATCTTTCATTTATTGCCACAATTGAAAAGCTATATTTCCAATCATTTTTCATGGTTCTATTTTGCTTAATGTCATAGGATTTCATCTCATCTTACTTGACTTGCTATTTAAATAAGCAAAGCTTTGCTCTTTTCTGACTGAATTCAACATGCATAAAGAATTTTATGGCTTGGATCCTATGGCTCAAAAGGTTTGGAGAACATAGCAAGCAGCATCTATTTAAAAAAATTGTAGGGTTGCAAAATATTACAAACTGCCTTTGCACACTCAGACTGAAGACATTATAAAAGACAAACAAAAATAAGTGATAAGACTCAACTGCAACTGCATGATCATCTATTATACCAGTATGCACTGAAATATATTTTTATAAAGCTCTGCAGATATTAAACCCTTTCACCAGCTAAAGTCATGGAAATGCTCTCTTTAAGGCAGGAAGTATTTAAGAAAGGTAAAGTTACCTTTATTTTTATTCTTTGTACCTGTAAATCACTTATGTAGATTTTGTTACAATTTCAAAAACATAGTGTCTTGTTAACATGTTTCCTAAATTAAGCCACTAAGTTTTCGTATTCACTGTGGAAGACATTCATCAAAAGGCCATCAAATATTTTTACAATCAAAAAATATAGCCCCAGTATAGGAGGAAAAAAATACCTTTTTTCCTTTTAAAACTGTTAAGGAAAAAAATGTAAGGAAGGTAGACAGCAAAAACAGTAAAAAGAAGCAAAACTTAAAACCTTACCAATTTGCTGTAAAGAGATTAGAGAGAGAGTGAACTGTGGCAACACCCTCTTCCCCTGGATCTCCCTATCTCCCTCACTTTGCCGCCCTCAGTATGCATTTTATCCTGACTCTCTTCCGTCCTTCTTCAACCATGGGCTGAACACATTTGGCATCTTGAACCAAATACTGGTATAAAAACAGGTGGTGATATTTTTCCAGTGCAATGCAGGCCCAGGACAAAGATGAAATGTAGGACATACAACTTATGCCCATTCCAAGGCTTCCAGTTAAGCTTAGCACATAGCAGTAACTGCAAGTAGAAATGATTAAACAGATTCATTTTTTTTTCTAGTATTACAGACAGGTATTGCAGCTGGGTTACTGAAAATAAACTCCCAGGTCCACCCCAATCCCTCAACGAGCCACAGCTGTGGTTAACAATGATTCATTTGCATTTTTATTATTTCACCAAGAGAAGAAACAGAAGCTGTCTGGCTTTCTTCACACCAACCAATAATTTCGCATTTTAAAGTTTGGGATGTTTTCCATAATGAGCTGAATCAAAAATCTATTTGAAAAATATATATTTATATAAAAAAAAGATTCAGGTTGTTTGCACGTAAAACATCAATTGTTAAGTTTCTTTTGTCTTTGATTCCACGTTGCTGGAAAAAGTTTGACCAAGCTTGCATGCTTATCTGTCCTTAGTTGCAAGTATTACAGGCAGTTTCATACTTTGCCTAATGAAAGGATAACCCTTCTTTGACGCAATCAGAACTCAACAGTGATTCAGAAGCAACATCCTACCCTTAATACTGTCAGTTTCGAGCCATCAACATGAAAATCCTTGATAAGGTTAAGAAGATGTCGCTAGGAATCAATTAATTGATGTGCCTAAGAGTTCGCAATACTATTTTGCTTAAGTTTTTTTTTTGCACCATTGATTGATTTTTAAAAATCCATGTTTATTTTTCCTCGGTCCAAAGTGTTCTATGTAATGACACTGACTCTTTGAGACTGTCATTTTGAGTCTTCTTGTTTCACCTTGCAGGATGCTCACACATCCCCTCCCCTCCTTTTTTGCCTTAAATTCATTAAAAGCATTGCTCTGTCATAGATTCATACGCAGGTGCTCTGGTCGTTTGGAGATCATGGGAAAAGCCTGTTTTTTGTACGGCCCGGAGTTCGGCTGTCGTATTGGAAGTGGTGCTGAAGCTTCTCCACTCATTGTCACATCCATCTGCTCTATTCCACTTGTTTCCATTGGGAATTCCACAGGCGTCTGAGGATTTGCCGTGCTGGCTGAAGCACCTCTTCCCCAGAAATCCCCAGGAGAAAATTTGACTGGGCTTTAAGACAAGGAAGAGCTATCATTCATTTGTCTCAAGGATTATCTCAACAAGAAATATTTTCCTTACCTTTAAAGGGAGTGTGGTAATATGACATTTATTTTCATTTAATTTTATTTTTGTGTGGATTAGCACAAAGGCAAAAGCTGAGCCATCTCTCCCCTAGACTGATTGCGGGAGCTTCCTAACTGGTCTCTTAACCTCTATACTTGCCCCCATAAAACCCTCAATGATACTTTTTTTTTTCAATCATTTCACTCCCACACTTAAAACAGTTTCCCACTGCAAAGTACTCCTCCAAACTTTTGCCATTTTCTTCCTCACTCACCACACTTCAGGAACGTTGATCTCCCTTTCATTTCCAAGAAACCTTCCTTAGGGCTTTTGCAGCTGCTGTTCTACCTGTAACACCCTTGGACTTCTGTTTTTTGTATAGCTGGCTCTTTCTCTTCATTCTTAGATGTTACTTCACCACTGAGGCCTTTCTCTGACCACCATCAACAGGAGCCCCCTCGTTATACTTTGCTCTCTACCATCACACTTTTTTTTTTTATGTAGCACTTGGCACTACTTGTAATTACATTTTTTCTATTTCCTTCTTTGTTTATTGTGACTCGCTCTCACTAAACTGTAAGCTTCATCAGGACAAGGACAATTCCTCTGCTAATCATGTGTCCTCAGCATGCAGCAGAGCCCCTGGTACATGATAATTGTTGAAAGAATGGGTAAAGAGGACACTTGCCAGTGCAGTAGCTTACCTTCAGAAGGGAAGGTAAACTATATAGCACATTATCATAGATTACGCACAGACTAGTCACTTGAAAGATAAGAAGGTGTAGATGCTGTGCTTGTCTCAATCAAAGAGAATATGACAGATCTTTCATTTATGTAACTTGGCATAAATTTGTTAAGCAATGCTCTTCTAGGTTTTAAAAAAAAAAAAAGGCAGAATAACAAAATCTGAATACCTGACAGGTGTTCGTGGGCTGCCAATAAATCTTCGAGGTGATCGGATTTTTGGTTCAAAGGAAAACTTTTCTTTTACACTTTCAAGTACAGATGGAGCCACATATGTAAAACCCTGAAAGACAGTTAACAGTGGACTACAGAATGGCATTTTGTCACACATCAAGAAAATGTGGTTGTTCAGTTTCTGACACACCAACACAACAATGCACACCTAAAATCACTGATCTGTATACTCTCCCATCTCCTCAATCTCATTTCATATGTTAACTTCTTCCAGCCATTTCTTGAGGCACAGACCTCAAGAAAGCAGAATTCTCTTGAGGCCCATATGCCAGCAAACAAAATTCCACTCTATTGAAAGGAGTAGAACAAAACAGAAAATGTAGGCTCCACATTAAAATGTTAAATACCAAGATAAATATAAAGAAAATTCGACTGTTTCTAGCCACATGCATATTAGCAACTAACACTATCACCCCCACAAACAGTTTCTGATTATTATGCCAAAGTAAAAATAGAATTCTCTGACTTGGTACGTGTGATCTTTCTGATTTTACACCAATGATTGGACAGATTTATATTTTCTTGATGAATAAGGGTCAGCACTGTGAAAACCCTCACTTGTAATAGGCAATAATGCAGTTTTGTTAGCTTTAGTTCTTTCTTGGATCTTGCTATTTCATCAGCTGTCATTTCTCTTGCTGTCAATGTTCATCCCTTTAAAAATCAGTCCTCCACCCATCTTCCTTTCTATTTATTATTCTAGTCACTATGAGTAGGCAGTATGAGTTACAGAAAAAAACTCAATAAGGCTCTGGGTGAAGTCCTAAAGAGTGAGGCGCAATTCTGTAGAGAATACACTTTGTGACAGCTACACGTGGACATCAGAGGTCATTTCCCCACAAGTTCTCATGGGCTAAAGCTGTACATACCAAGAAGACCAGGCTGTGCCTTAATCATCTTTGAATTTCCTTAATTCTGTGATAGGAATTTATTTATTGAACTGAAGTTGCTACAACCACAATCTCCAGGTAAGTGGGATCTATTTTATTAATTTTTAAAGACATCCATTTTATATACAGAATTCTGGATACAACCTAAGAAATGAATTGCTGTTGTTTCATTAGTTAGCCAATTTATTATGAAAAGTTCAACAATACTTTAAATGGCAATGAAAGCTTAGCTATATAACTGTTGCCACCACAAGTTTGGATTTCTTTATAGGTAGACTGCTTTTTATGGGGGGAAAATTGTCAAACTAGTTGAAACTCTACAATGCCCGAGGAAAAGGTCTCTATGTTAAATCAAAGATACAAATTCCACATCAGTAGAAAACAAAATTCCACATTCTAAGAGAAAAAAAGAACACAAAGCCAGAATTAAAATGAATCATGCCTACTTCCCTAACTGAACATGAGAGATTTTACTAAGGGGAATACACTGACTTTGCATCATGTAGACATAAACTTAACATGCATTCATCTTTCATCTCTTATGTAATTAAAAATACTGTAAAATTATAATTTGTACATATGCTCTATTATTACATAATGATATAGCCAAACATTAATAGAATTATTACTATTCAATAGTGTTTACTCAAAACCATACTGTAGTATGGCGAGTTTGTTTTTTAATTCTGCCAGCATTTTTTTTTTTAAGCTTTTATTTTTTTCCTTTTTCTCCCCAAAGCCCCCTGATACATAGTTGCATATTCTTAGTTGTGGGTCTTCTAGCTGTAGCATGTGGGACACCACCTCAGCATGGCTTGATGAGCGGTGCCATGTCCACGCCCAGGATCCGAACCAGCGAAAGGGCCACCACAGCTGAGCGCTTGAAGTTAACCACTTGGCCATAGGGCCAGCCTGCCTAATTTTGACCACACAATTTTTGCATTCTATGCTAACTTTAGAACTTACCCTCTCCAAAAGATACAATACTACTGTGTGTTATACTGTGAGCAGTATAAAAAAAATGCTTGAGAATTAAGTTAATGACAAACTCAGTGAACTCAGAAACAAATAGGGGGAAAAAAGCCCAAACTTCCAAGTAATAATTTTCCCCGTAGTCCATTCTCCCTAGAAGCAGCCAAAAAAGAAGTGACAAAGGATAATGACAAATGACAAAGGATACAAAATAAGACAGACGTTCATGTGACATATAAGTACAGTAATAAAATAAACATAAGCATATAAGATACTTAGGCAAAATAATATGCAATGATGGTCATCAGATAGAAATTTATCATTTTGTTGATCAAAATCTAAAAGCTTTGCTCTTCTACCTGAGGAGACAAGGCATAAATCAATACAGATACTTCCACAATGAGGATTAATTTATTTACCATTGCATATGAACCAATATATTTTGATGTCAAATATTCATAATTAACAGGTTAAAAATTGCCTACAGACTTATGTTAAGAGTGCCAAAACTCTGTAGCTGTTTCAGGAATAAAATAGTTAAAATAGCTCTCCTCCTACTGCTATGGCTATGTAGCTTTATGTTGAGATGCTAAGCCAAACATCATTTTAAGTCAGTGGCCCATCCAAAAAATGAATCACACACTCATACTCTAATTGCTAAAATGGAATGTTAGATTATGAGAATCAATTTGCTAACTTACTGATAAAGTTATAAGGGGATAACTCAAAAAAAAAAATAGCACCCCAGATTATCTAACATGAACTGCAAAGCAAGCAAATTGAATTTTCTCATTGAAAATGGCTTTCCAATGAAAAGGGCCCATCCTCATACATGCATTTCCCATGGCTACATGGAAATTCTTTCACTTACCAGAAAGACCTGGTTGGCACTTTCACTGAGAGTTGAGTCATCTGGGCTGTCAACAGGTGTCTGACGTGTAAACTTTGAATCAAACTGACTCACATCCTCTTCAGATTGCTTTATAAAAAAACAAAATGATTAGCAAACAATGAATAGTCTATATTATATTTATCAATCAAATGCATTACATACATTGGAGAAGGAACTAGATAAAGAGTTTTTTCACACGGTTTGACTACAATAAAACATCAGAATTGTCTTAGGCACAGACTAAAGAATAAATACATTTGGAAAGTAACTAACGTCAAATTTTAAACATCTATTAAAATAGATTTTAGTACACAGTTATTCCTATTAAAAATCTGAATATCAATCTTTCCCTCTCACAAAGCTTCAGTGTGCCTAGTCCACTGGCTAAGTCCCTTCTTAGAGATAATTTGTTTACCTGGCCACTGCAGGTTTGTAATAAATCTGAAAAACTACTGAAGCAGAGTTTAAATACAAAACACTTTTGTAAGATGCGCTAGTTAAAATTTCTTCCCATAGCTTATTTCATTTCTTTAGATTTCTCAAGGAGCAAAAATAATATTCTATTATTCTACTCTGCATGAGAAAGAATATTATCATCTAAATCTAACCACCAGATCTATTTCTTTAATTCCTTCTCTCTGAAACATCAGACTATGTGGTCATGTCCAAAGAACTCAGGAACCAACATGAAGCACCAGCCAGTATCCAAAGATGGGAAAAGTGAACATCAATAAAAATAACGACAATAGACTGAAACACAAGTATGCTCAAAGACGAGCTCAATTATACTGAAGAGAAAAAGCACACAATTCATTGGTCAATTTTTGGAAGATGCTAGGGAACTAATTCATTATTTTGAAAACTGGGACAGAAACAAACATTTACCCTGCCTTTCCTGAATGAACTGTACCTCAGGTAACCAAACAACTAACCTAAGAGTTTCTCTTTATGGGAGAATTCCAGCTAATAAATAAAGAATGAATAAAAGTATTAGAATAAGACAATTTTGCAAACTCCTAATGAAATCCTGGACCAAGGACAGAGTTTCTCAACGTCTGCACTATTGACGTTTTGGGGCTGATAATTCTTGTTCTAAGGGGCTGGCTTATGCATTAGAGGATGTTTAGCAGCTTCCCCGGCTTCTACTCACCCCTAAGTATCAGTAGCGCCCCTCCCTAAGTTGTGACAACTTGTCTCCAGATATTGCCAAATCAACCCTGCCTGAGAACCACTGATGTAGGCAATGATCAATGACCACTAACATCCCTAAAAGATATACAAATATACATTGTCTCCTGATCAAAATATACAGCAATAATCAATGACCACTAACATCACTAAAAGACATACAAATACACATTATGTCTCCTGATCAAAATATACAACATCAAACTGGAGTAGGGAGGGATCCTAATCCAATATGACTGGTGTCCTTATAAAAAGGGAAAATTCAGACACAGACCTGCACACAAGGAGAATGTCGTGTGAACATGAAGGCAGAGATTGGGTGAGGTGCCTACAGAGCCAAGGAATACCAAAGATTGCCAGCAAACCACCAGAAGCTAAGAGAGGGGCATGGAACAAAGTGTTTCTCACAGCCTTCAGAAGCAACCAACCCTGGCAACATCTTGATCTCAGACTTCTAGCCTCCAGAACCATGACATAATAAATTTGTGCTAAGCCACCTAGTTTGTGGTACTTTGTTACAGAAACCCTAGCAAACTAATACATGTACATTCTGTATTTTGAAGAAGAAAATTTCCAGAAAATCAAATTTAAAATAGGGTTGAATTGGGGCTGGCCCAGTGATGTAGTGGTTAAATTCGGGCACTCTACTTTGGCAACCTAGGATTTGCAGGTTCAGATCCAGGGCATGGACCTACACACCACTCATCAAGCCATGCTATGGCGGCATCCCACGTACAAAAAATAAAGGAAGACTGGCACAGATGTTAGCTCAGCAACAATCTTCCTCAAGCAAAAAGAAGATTGGCATGATGTTAGCTCCGGGCCAATCTTCCTCACACACAAAAAAATAGGGTTGAACTAGACAAAACAAAGCAAAGCAAACACAAGTTCCAACTACTTGAAATATTTAATTGTCTTGGGCAACCAACTTAAAAATAGTTAATACAGTCATTGCTGCTGGCAGTAGTTCTTGAAAAGGCTGTACAGAATAAAGATTCTGAAGAGAAGAGAGGATAGACCAAAGTTTTTTGAACTGTTAATAAATACAGTATTTCTGACTGCTCTGAGATTTTCTTATTCTAAAAAAGTACCAGGTCCCTCAAGTTTAGGCTTTCGTGTGTGCATACCAACAGAGGTTTAAAGGGGGGCTCCACCTTCCGAGCCAGCAGTTCTTCCCAATTAATATGTCTGAAGAATGGATGAGCCTAGAAAGAAACAGCAGGAAGAAAAGACTTCACTGGACTGACAAATTAACTGCCTATCTGAAGTTACCAATCACAAAATAAGCCATACTTAAAAGCAACTACATACAACCTTCACAAATACATAAAATTAGCATTATCTTCCCCTCAAACCACCAAACATGCCAATCCCTACTTGAACTTCTCCAGCGTCCCCAGGACCAGCTCCAAGACGAGAAGCAGCATTTCTTTTCAGCAGCTTTAGGGAGAAAAAAAATTGATGAATATTAAGTCAAATCAATCATTTTTTCTTTACAGAATTTTCTTATCCATTTTGCCTTGAGAAAATATGACATTAATTACTACTAAATACTGTTTGGGAGTAAAAAAAAAGAAAAATCTGCAAACAAACAAATTTATGCTTTGCCTGCAAACAATTGTAGGCTTTTTTGTTCAATATCTGTGTAAGATTCTTTATTCAAAATGTATGTTCACGTCTATCCATTTAAATCCTTGTTAAGTTGAGGCTTACGGTGTCAGTGCCTATTTAAGAACCCTACCTTTTTAAGCAGATCTCTGGCTTCTTGTGTGAGGTAGGGAGGCAAATTGAGTTTACATTTGAGGATTTTGTCAATTGTTTTCTTTCTATTCTCCCCAGTGAACGGGGGCTGAGAGTAGAAGAGAGTGAGAAAAATTAGCATATAAAATAACCAAATTTTAAATAACAGAATTATCCATTTCCTGAATTAGTCAGTTATACATAGAGATCAGAAATGTATGCTGTGATATGGGCTGATTGCTAAAGACCTCTAGTTTTTATGCAGCAGGACGAGAAATAGCAATGTCCTGGAAGGAACTAGGTTCCTACCATCAACTTTGTGTGATAATGGTGAGCCATGTGATTTTATGCTTCACTTTCTCCATTTATAAAATAAGGACAGTATCTATTTTGCAACTATTTCACAGGACTGCCATGACATAGATCATTTAAATGAAAATGTTTTAAAAAGTACTGGGGGCCTATACTACCACTAATAAAGTATTATTAGTGCTAAGTTGTTGAAAATAACTCCATTGGTAACATTTTCAAAAACCACAGGAAAGGTCTCTTGCTATAGTGATTTAATAACTACTCAGCACAGACCATAACACATGCAGCTTTTAACTGTGCACCTACTGCTCCAGTCAGCATGTCATACATTAATGCTCCCAAACTCCACCAATCCACAGCACGATTGTGGCCACTTCTCATCAAGATTTCAGGGGCCCTACAATGAGAAAAATAACACACCTAAAAAATTCACCCATTCACATATCACCTGAATTAGAATTTTAAAAATAATATATGCAGCCAAATGATGCTACAGAATAAATTTAGTACACTATTACTTAAACCAGGTAAAAGTTAGCTATTACCCCCAAACCAGTTACATTTCTTTCAACATGCAGCTCACATGTATTCTATTGTTCCACAAAATGTATGTGTGACTGTTCCATCATGAATAGATTCTTTGCATAGTCCAAAGTCTGTTAGTTTCACATGACCTACAATGAAAGATTATAGCATGGTTATTATGAGAAATCTAAGTATGTGCAGTGTTTTTACGTATCATAAAAGACAACAATCTATCCTTCCTTACTTTTTCTGCCTTAAAATTTTTTTTGAAGATATCAACAACTAGTAAGGTGCCATCCATAAAATGGGATGCTAACTCTTTAAGGCTAGGGCAGAGTCATCTTTTGCCAATGATATAATATATCTAGTATAAGGAAAGTAAAGATAGAGGAAAAAAGTGAAACAGCTTGTCTAAGGCTCTAGCTTTACCTATACTTAGAATCCTCTACCATCCTGAGAAAGCAAATCCTGGGAAAACTTGATGAAGTCTGGTTTAAGTACACAGACCCTAATAAAGATATTCTGCACCTTTTAAACAAAGGTGTGATGCTGTACTTCAAATATATAGCTTTTATCACAGTGAACTATGGCTTGATAGTTCTTAAAATAGTCTCAGAAACTCACTATAACAAGTTAGCTTATTCTGTCAATTGCTACCAGTTGGAAAAAGAAATGAAATTGCTACATGGCATGGGACCATCATCTCTGATCCAGAAAGTGAAAAACTCACCACCTTACACAAAGAACATTTCAGTTCAAGTTTAGCTTTACTGAAGTGTCATTAGACATCCAGTGGTTCAACAACTCCAGGGACCCTATTATTCCAGGTTTATTTCAGAGAAAAGAAAAGGCAATGGCCTATTGATTCCAATGTAAATGTGTACTTCACTCTGACAAACAAGAAGAACTATGACCTTTATTTTCACAGAACCACCTCACATACTCAAGGTCATGGATCAAAGAAGTTGACTAGTCACTTCCCTATTCTATCCTCTGCCTTAGAATTCAGAATCAGAATCCACGTTTGGGGGAAGTCGGCAGAACTGAGAGGGTGGGAGATACATAGATTCCCATGATGTGCTTGGTTAAGTATAGCATTTCTCCTAAAAAAATAAAAAGGAAAAGAAAAAGCACAATTTGAAACATTTATACCGGCATCAGTTGTCCATACACCATTTTCTGTCTAAGAATTTAAAACCATTAACTACCTCGTGCATCTTTTTGTAGACATCTAAGGATCAGCAGCAGCTACCAGCTCCCCACATACCTAGTTGGCTGGTTGCTCCTTTGGGATGTGAGTGAACTGCCAAGTCTACTCAGCCCAGATTACTCTCGCATAAATTCAACTGTCTGTGGCAGCATGCAGTTGTAATCAAGGCTCACTTCACTGTACCTATAGCTATATAGAATATTAGTCTGTCTGATTTTTATGTTTGTCGTCACAAACAAACAGCAAGAGTAAACTGATGCCTACTAAATATTTATTTCTAAGGCTACATCAAATATTTTGGTTCAGTTCTAATCCTTTCCTTTTTTACAGCATTAATAAAATTTATCATAAAAAGCATTGCTTCTAATATTTATGTATTTTCATCATTAAAGAAAACTCAATTTGTAAACTTAAGATTCACTTTCCAATTTAAGGAAAAAACCAAAATCAGTGTTTGGACTGGCTTTTGGCTCACCACATTTTATGTAAGGATTTCAAAGGAATGACAAGCTATAAAGAGTAATGATTCAACCAGAAAAGGCAAGTGAGTGGCCAGTTATTCTCAACTCCCTCTAATCTCATCAACCCTAAGTACCTAAATACTTAAATCTCAGCAAGTATCATGATGCCATAAATTCTGAGGGAGAAATGTCTAATAGTAAATACATGAATATGGGGGTTTGAAAATGATCATGACCTGTGTGGGAGGATTTTAAGATGATTATTTACTACAGAATTGTTTACGGTATATCTCCACCTTGGTGATTAAGCATGATATTCTCCGGCTTCAGGTCTCTGTAGATGATCCCCTTTTGATGTAAATGCCCCAAAGCCATGGAGATTTCTGCCAAGTAAAAGCTGGAAACAAAAGTGATTTAATAAAATTAAAGAGTAATCTACTCAAAGCAGTTTATGTATGGAGTAAAATTCCTTGAAAGAAATAAACATGCACCAAAGACCAAATTCGTGGGGGTAGGGGTGGGTATGGTGGAAAGAGATGGCATAGGATGCTGCCAAAAGGCATGGAGACATTTATGTTTCACTTATTTGGCAAAACTATAAAATGTTTTATTTCAGCATTAGAACATGCTGCTAAAATTGCAAAGAAGTCCAGAATATGCCAAACTGTCACTGGTCATGTTTTGTTCTGTGTAGTAATTGGGCCAATAGTCATCACGACCAAAGCAAATTTCTCCCACCCACTCCCAATTTTAAAATCCCATAGGAAATAGGAACTTTGTTATTCTCAGAGATCAACTGTTAGTTTGAAGATACCTTATAACCTGACCCTTAGAAACCCACTCATCCCTTACTTAATACAGCTGCATATTTATATACAGCTCATCCCCACAGTATCTGCCCGCCCTCTTGCCAGCCAGCCCACAACTATAAACTGTGTGACACTCAAATTTATCTACCTCAAAAGAATAAAGGGCTGAGTCAACCCTGTCTGGATTCGAAAAGCACAAGGCACTGCAATACTGGCTGCATAACAATGTTGCAATCCTGCAGATTACTCCAGGATGGAGAGGGTGTGTCCTAGAGGACTGAGGCAGTTTCACAGCCAGCAGGACCACAAACACAGCCTCCAACATGGCTCAGAGAGCCTCCTCCAAAAAAGGTAACTTCATCCCTAAGGCTCTTAAATGCAGCTTCTGTGTTAGAAAAGGCCTGAAATTAAACAATGGAATGCAGTTTGGTAATTAAGGTAGAAAAACATTGAAGTGTTTTCTATTCAATTAATGTGTAGGATAAACTGATTTATTTTTACCCAATACTGTCATCTCACAAAAGGATGTGTATATTTTTAATTTGAAGCAGATGCCATCTTAAGAAATAGGAGGGTAGGTCCCATCCTGGCCATAGAATCAATCCACAGCTGATGTGTGCAGGTTTATCACCTCCCTAACTGCACCTTGGGAACTGGAAAGTCTAAAAAAAAGAGATGATTTCTGATACTTTCCATTGTTCCACACATAAAGTTTCACTGGAAAACCACACTCACCCAAAGCCAAGGCAGACAGCTTACCAATTCAAGGAAAGAAAGCCCCAGTGAGAATGGTTCTGTTAGGAACTGGCGTGAAGAGCGTTCCACCCAAGGCCTGGGGGCAAAGGAATGATGTGACCTCCAATAACTGCCCAGTCCCAAAGCTGCTTCTCCCCCTTGAAGTCCTGAATGACTGACTGGCTCCAGAACAATTTATTCAATCATTTGGCTGCCCACAATGGGAACAGGGCTTTGCTTTTAATTACATAAATTATTACCTGAATCGATGCAAAAACAAAAATTCCACTTACCAGGCTGTGTCTTCCATAAATATTCCCTCTCTTTCCAACTGCATAAATAATTCTCCTCCTGTAAAGAAAATAAAAAGAGATTGGAAATAAAACAATCTTTTTCTAACTGATTTCCAATAAGAGGGTTTGTGGTTTCCTTTAACCATAGTTAAAAAACATCAGCCCCTTAAAAATAAAAACAGATCCTAAAAATTATAGGCTTAAAACTAAGTCCCCAGGATTCTATTTTTAGCAGTGCTCTTATTCTTACGTAAAATACATGAGTTTTGGAATTCCAAATATTTTGAAGTCTATAAACTTCAAAATATTTATAGATTCCAAACCTGAAGTAAAAATGTTAGTATATAATTAAACCACCCTTGCAAATTAGTGAATACCCATATTCCATATTTTCAGCACTCTTAAACTGGATGAACCTGGCAGCAGTGTGATAAAAAGCATGCCATGATTTGAGTATCAAAATAAATAATGACAATAAAAAGTTATATTCCACTGAATAATCTCAGAATCCATGAGTCCACAATAATGTAAATCAATGAACAGATAAAAACATTTTAAAATGGGAGAAAAGACAAAGTTCTTTGTTACAGTAGAATGCCAAATAATAAATGAAGGAGGCATGATGCAATAAGAAAAAGCACTTGGCAACCATAATAGATAATTGTTTCAGGCAAGAATCAATGGATGCTAAAACTGTACGTGAAAGTTTGATGAGATGAGATACTTTGAGATTATTTAAATATCTCCTCAAGATACTTATTATAAAGGGAAAACTTCAGCAGGGAAATAACTGGCAGACACCACCTTATACATGTGATCAAAGTTAACATCAACAGTAATGGGATAAAGATAAAAATGTCATGTACCTCCTGATCCGATACACAGAGAAGGACACAATGTCACTTTGATGGTCCTCCCAAAAATGCATAACCTGAATCTAATCCTGAGGAAATACCATACAAGCCCAAATTGATGCTTTCTACAAATAACTGGTCCATACTCTTCAAAAATGTCAAGGTCATGAAAGACAAAGAAAGACTGAGGAACTGTTCCAGACTAAAGAAAACTAAGGAGAGATATTATGCTATCAATGTTAATTTCCTATTTTTGATAATCTTAGTATAGTTATATAAGATACTGTTGTTGGTTTTAGAAAATATACACTGAAGTATTTGGAGGTAAAGGGAAATCATGTATGCAACATTCTCATGAAACAGTTTAGAAAAAATTACATACCTGTATTCATGTGTGTATATACAAATATATACACACATACATATATATACATGTGTGTATATACAAATATCTACACACATACATATATATACATAGAGAGGGAGAGAAAGAGAAGGAAGAAACAAAACAATTGTGGTAAGATGACAACACTTAGGGGATCTAGGCAAAGGATATGTGGGGATTCTTTGAAGTATTCCTGCAACTTTTTTGTGTAAATCTGAAATTATGTCAAAATAAAGTTACAAGAAAGAAATGGCAACAGTCACAAAAAACTTACTAAACTCTGCAGCTTTCTGTTCCATGTTACAGGCTATTGTGAAATCTCTGTTTTTCAGAAAACTCAAGTGTGTCTGCTGGAAATAGATATCTGAAATCTACAAATGATATCAGGAGCAACAAGTTCCCAAGAGGTGGTAAGCCCTAGAAAATCTGGATGACTTCCAATGTAAACTGCATAATCTACCAGTAAGGCTACATTAAACCAAAAAAACTCTTCTGTTTAAAGACACAATTCCAAATATCTTAAATATTCTAAGTTTTCCATGTCAGTTTAGAAAGAAACACATTAATGGTTTATTTACAGTACCTTACCCAAGTGGAGTCAATGTGATGGCTCTGTAGCAATTGGGTGTTATTTTGTTAAGTAATTGATTACAAAGGGGTTAAGATAAAATTTTACAGATGAGGTAAAAACTTAAAACCTTTAAAGTTTCCTTCATATTTGTCTGCAAAAAGAAACATTTGGTCACATCTGAATTCCTTATGTCAATGTGTTTGTCAATTTTAAGAACTATTTGACCACATTGGGAAAAAGCATTTTTCCACTGGAAAATAATCTTTTGACCCAGCTTCTGGAGCAAATGCAAATAATTACACCAAACTGTGTGTACTGACCGCTGAGATACTCAAGGATGAGGTAGAGTTTTCCACCAGTCTGAAAGGCATAAATTAAATCCACAATGAAGGGATGCTTTACTTCCTCCAGAATATTCCGTTCTGCTTTTGTATGAGCTGTATCTTTAGCATTTCTTACTATCATTGCCTAAAGGAAAAGAGATGATCTATAAGAACAAAATAGTAGACATTTTTATTCTACAGTAAAAGGAAAATCTATCTTGTGCTTTTGTTTTTTGCCAATATTAAACTATTCATCACAGCTCCCATGAGAGTTTGAGATAGGGTAATGGAAGGCATTGACTTCTTATATATATCTGCACTGTTCGGATTTTTTGCAGTGGACATGTAAATAAAACCCTAGAGATACTTTTTTTTAACATAAACAGATCAAATTTATTCATATATTCATTAACTGTTGAATGTCTACTATGTTCCAAACTCTGTAACAAGAAAGCAGAACTAACAGGTCTCTGGCCCATAGGAGGCTAAAGTCTCAGGCAAGAGATAAATCAACCAAGGTAAGCTATATGGGTGAACAGGGGAACTGCACCTGACTCGGCAAGAAGAATTCCTGGAGGTGATGATACCTAAGCCGTATCATCAAAAGTTATTAAGATGAAATGCGGAGGCTAAAAAAAGGGCATTCCCAGTGCAAAAGGGGCCTGACAGAACAGGACATGTCTAGGGACTCTGTAAATAGTTGAGTATAGTTAGAAGTGGTTAGAGATTAGGCTGGAGATGTAGCTGGAGACCAGGAAATGGAAGGCCTACACATCTAGGCAAAAGTGTTTGAATCTTATCTTAGAGGCAGAGGAGAAATGTTGATGTAAGGGAAATGAAGAACTCTTGGCTTTAAGAAGGACAGTTCTAATAGTAGTGCAGAGTTTTAGGGAAGAAATGAGACCAGTTAGGAGGCTAGTACAGTAAACTAAGCAAGAAGTAAGACCTGTAACTAAGAAAATCAGGGTGGAAATAGAGAAAGGGAAAAGGTCCATTATTAGCACTTGCTGACTAACTAGATATGAGATGAAATGATACCATAGTTTCTGCTTAAGTAATAGGATAAAGAATGATGTCATTCAATAACAGGGAATGGAAATAAAGAAAAAAGTTTTGGGAAAATGATGCATTGTTTTGGACACGTTAAGTCTAAGTGCTAGGACTAAGTTTTGGCACACTTCCAGTAACAAAAAAAGCATATACACAAGGTTATCAGTTGCAATATTCGTTGTAAAAGTGAAACAATAGAAACAACCTAAATGCCCATGCACAGGATATTGGCCGAAAACCTATGGACTATCTACCCAATATGTAAGAAAGCTATAAAAAGAATGAGGAACATCTCTATGAAAGCAAGATGCAAAAGAGCATACACGGCACAGCAGTATACAGAGTATGCTACTTTTTGTGTAAGAAAGGGGAACTAAGAATATAAATGTATCTGCTTATATACGCAATAACGAACACAACCAAGATAAACCAAAAGCTAATGACAGTGGAAAGGCAGGAGAGGGAATGGGACTTTTGAGTACAGCTTCTCAGTAAAAGTTCAAGGGTTTTATCATTCATTTTTTTCTTACCTAAACATCATTACTGTGACTATAAAATGGAGATTTTGAATTCTGAACCATGTTAATGTTTTATACATTCCAAAAATAAAATTCAGTCAACAAGATTGGGGGAGGAAAATAAAACTGAATACAACAGAAAAACATAAATTTAATTGAATATTACATTGATAATTTTACCACAGAAGGAGAAAAAAGATATTTAAATAACTTGATACTGCACACAGTCAGTGGTATATACATAACAAAAATTGCAGAGAAATCTTAAACCACACTTGGTAGGTTTGTAGCTGCCAGTAGTATTGGTATTATAATTCTCAAGCTATTATGCATATATTGTACAACTGAGCAAATGAGTAAATTTATTGATGTTGTCACCTGGCTCCTCACTGTGGAAAAATCATGATGCAAATATGGACTGAGGGAAGAAGCAGCCTATGGAATTAGACTGGAATTAGGGATATCAACATGAAGCCATGATTTAAAGCAAAAACTTCCTAGTGCTGTCTACTGAAGGAGCCAGAAACAATGACAGTTTAGTAGCTATCAACCCAGATCTTGGTTTCTCTACCAAAAGAAACCAGGTTTCCTTGGAGAAACAGCTGCTTCTAGGCCAGGGTCAGGGAAAGAGCAGGGTAAACCTGGAGTACTCACTGTACCAGAAAGTAAGGAACTACTCAAAAACTGACACTGATATGCTAAAGGACACAGACACCATCCTAATAGAGCTCTCTCTAGCAAAATTTGGGACAATTTGAGGAGCAAAACAAAAAATGAAAGAAATGGATAACACATTGAAAAAAAAAAACATCCATACTGACTCCTTTTAAAAATTAAATTGAAAAAAGTAAGTACGGGGACTGGTCCGATGGCATAGTGGTTAAGTTTGCATGCTCTGTTTCAGCAGCCTGGGGTTTGCAGGTTTGGATCCCAGGCACAGACCTACACACTGCTCATCAGCCCATGCTGTGGTGGCATCTCACATAAAAAATAGAGGAAGACTGGCACAGATGTTAGCTCATGAACAATCTTCCTCACCAAAAAAAAAAAGTAAGTAAGTATGAAAAGCTCTTCTTTACAGAAGAATAACAACTAATATAGAAAAAAATGATAAAAATAGAAAAGTTTCCATTTTATAACCACCATAGTAACATTTGACTTGGACAAGAAACAATAGATGATAAAACTACTGGGTAAAAGATTATTAGGACAGAATATTCTCACAGTCTCTATCATTCCATAGATACTTATTAATTACAAAGGGAAAAATGTATCTGTACAATGGAAAGTCTGAAGGACACCACCTTAATCAAGTGATAAAACTCAATCTCACCAAATAATGGGACAGACTGACATAATGTGCTTCCTGAGCCCAGGCAGTGAGGAGACAATACTCCTGCAAAATACTGCTGCAAAAAGTATTTAACCTAAATTTACAATTTAAATGTTTTCAGGAGGAAACAATGAAATATATCTAAATTAACAGATACCCTGCAAAACACCAGGCCTGGAGACTTCAAAAAATGTCAATGTCAAGAAAGACAAAAAATGGGTGGGGATTGGCTTTAGAGTAAAGGAACACAGGGACAGAACAACTCAATGCAATGTGTGATCCCTGATTTAATCCTGGATATTAAAAACAAAACAGCTTTAAAGCATATTATTGACACAATTGGGGAAGTCTGAGAACAGACAATGTATTAGAAAACAGTATCGTATATCAATTGGTTATGTGTGAAAATGCCCTATTCTTAACAGATACCATAATAAAGAATTTAAGGGTGAAGTGCTATGATGTCTACAACTAACTTTCAAATGGTACAGCAAAAAAATAAAATAAAAAATTTGAATATACATACATTTATACATATGGGGAGAGAGAGACAGGTGGGATGGAAAGAGGGAGGGGCAGACAAAGAAAACACGGCAAACAACAATTGGTGATCACTGCACTATTCTTGAAACTCTTTGTGAAAAATTTCAAAGATATATTACTTTTTAACTGCTCAGGAGATTTAAATTTTTTAAATTAAGTAATTTTGAGAAAGTCTGAGAAGCAAGGGACTAAGAGATAAGATAAAAATTAGTAAAGTAGAATCATAGAAGTCGAAGGAGCAGAGTTTCAAAATGCTTGGTTAATAGCTTCAATGCAACAGAGAGGTAAACTAAAGATGAATTAAGTAAAGACCATTGGATTCAGCAATTAGGAGACTGGTGGTAACCTAGGGGACAAGAGTTTCAATGACAAGAGTCAAGTCAAAATATAGTGAGTAAAAAAAGAATAAAATATGACTTCTCAAGAAATTCAGCTATGAAAAGCAAAGAGGGTAGACACTATAGGGAAACCTCAAGTGAAGGATCTGTTTTGCTAAATATGGCAAAGACATGAATATATTTAAATAAAGAAGTCAGGACAGAGGATGGAAACACAGAGAGAAGTGAGAGAGAAAAGACCCTGAATAGGCAGAAAAGGATGGGATCCAAAACATAAAGAGAAGGCTTAGCCCTGGAAAGGAGGAGGAAGACATCTCCCACTATGACTGGAGAGAAGGAAGTAAAGACAGGTAAAAACGAAGATTAACATGGTATTGAGGGTAGGGATTAGAACAGGAAGTCAAAGGGAATCACATGTGACAGCCTCAGACAGGAAGAGAGGCAATCTGCTGACAGGAGTAGAGGGATTGACAGTAAAGGCTCTGACAGTTGTAGAGAATGGAAGGAGTTGTCTAGGGAAATGTAGAAAAATGATTGGTGAGAAGTGATTTGGGGACTATTAAATTGCCCAGCAGCAATGTACATGTTTGTGTGATTTCTGCCAGTAATGCTCAGTAGCTGAAATACAGATAAAGGAGCATTAACAACTAAATTAAGATTAGGACTTTCCTGAACATAAGGTCAATGGGGCTAGCAAGTGACTGAAGTGGCAGATCACGTTAATTAGACTGGATTCATTATAAAGTGAAATAAGAACAGGGCTAAGAACTTGGGGGAAAAACAGAAAGATCAAAGAAACAAAGAGCTTAGGGTCAAAGACCAGGCATTGTGGGAATAAAGAAGTGAGAAAGTTATTGTTCTAGTATAGCCCAAAATGTCAGAGGTGGAGGATACAGCCCTGGGGGCTGGTGAAGTGGAATGGAGGTGAAAGCTGATGGAGTTGAGATAATCAATGAATTAGAAGGCTAGGCTACTGATTGTTTACTTAATACAATTTAATATCCAGTATAACAAGACTTGGAAGTGGGGGGAAAAAGATGGATAAAAGGAAAGAAAGGTTTAAACCCCAAAGTAGAAAGGGTTTTGACACAGGTAGAAGAGTAACTGTAAGAATAAGTTTGTCAGTTCTTCCCTTGAATATACAATAAGCAGAGTGACAGGCAGAGACTACATTTGTCTCAAATGCTGAATCCTAGTATCTAGCATGCCTGGCACATTGCAGGTTCTCAATTGGTTCAATAAAAGAATGAAAGACGTATGACCAATCTGTGAGCCACAAGCGTTTGGCCAAAGGCTCTAAAATTTATAGTATGGGCTGAACTAGTGCCATGAGCAATAGTATTTTGCTTCCAGAGTACATTTT